AGTAGTTGGGTCTCCTGATCACTAGTTAAGTCATTTCTTCTACAGCACCCAACTCTCAGACTGAATTCCATTCTATGGAATGTGAGCTTTGAAAGTGTTCAGGCAAATCAGTGTGGGAAGATTTAGGGTTTCCCTTTCACAGCCAAAGTAGAGATAAGTCAAGATTACTTCACATTTTCCTCTTCTCCCCAGAAGGGCACCTGCCTCCACCTGATATAGGACCAAATATGGCCAAGCTTATAAACCTCACAGCCCCCTGGTGCCTCATTTCAGGAGCTGCTAATCATTCATACAAATACAGTGAGTTGCCGGGTAGCTGTGAGGAAGTACAGTTGAGGCTGTGCTTATGGCTGCAGCTGCTCACCACTTCTCCTGATCTGCACATGCTCAGAACCCTGTTTACTCCTCAGGCAACAGATGCTGAGCTTCCCTCACCTCCTGCAAACTGTGCTGCATATCATCCAGGTGGTCATCAGCTACTTCCTCATGCTCATCTTCATGACCTACAATGGCTACCTCTGCATCGCAGTGGCAGCAGGGGCTGGAACAGGATACTTTCTCTTCAGCTGGAAGAAAGCAGTGGTAGTGGACATCACAGAGCATTGCCATTAATGCCAGACTCCATGGTGTGGCCTTACCAATTGCAGTGGGAAGCAGCTTGAGTTGGGAAGACATGATTCCTGCTCCAATCATCCCTTCTCACTCCTCTCTCTTTACACACACACCTGCTGAGTAGAGGTTTAGTTTACAGTCTCCAAGGTAAAGTGATGTTTTTCAGTAAGCTGAGATTCCCATTTCTCTCATAGTGAAGCCACCCATGAGATGTCATCTCCTCCCTCATCATCCTAGATTGTTGGCTAATCCAAGTAGCTTTCTAGTCAGTGACTTGATTATCTGCTGCTTTTTAATCTTCTGGGTTTTCTTTAACACAATATGTGAATTTGATGGGGGTTGTTTTGTTTTTTGTTTCCTGGGTCAGTAATGAAAAGGGATTAACTTCAACCAGGATTGATGATAGTGAGGGACATTCTTGCCCAACTCAACCCAGGACTCAAATGTCACATTAGAACACAAGTTCCAAGTGGTAAAGTGTCTGTCTAGCAAGCCCAAGGCCCTGCATTCAAGCCCTAGTACTGCCAAGGAAGAAAGGAAGGTCCAGTCATTGTACTCAGTGAGTGAAAAATACATTGTGCCTTTCACTAGGCGTGATGTGTTACACCAGAACCTTTGCAGTATGTGGAGGGGTGATTGGAGACTAAATGTAGGCCTAGAGCTTGTTGGGTTCTGTATTTTTGGGTTGCTCACCAACTTGTTTTCCCACCTGATATTTTGACATTTTGATTAGGATAAGCTTTCCAATCAGAAAGAAAAAGACAGTCCATTTGAGAAAATAGAAATAGGTTTTTAAAAATAAAACTATTGTCATTTTACTTTGATGTCATTTTACCTTGATTTGACCCTGCTGAATGAAGCAGAAGAGTTTGAATTATCTTTTTCCTACTATTATTTTATATCTGCCTGGAAACCACCAGTGGTTTTTCAGACTTTAGTTGCATCAAAATCATCTGGAAGGCTTGTTAAAACACTAGTTTCTAGGCCTCAAACCCAGAACCCCAAAATTGACATTTCTAAGTTCCCAGGTATGCACTTCGAGAATATCTAATATCTGAGGAGGGAGGTACTTAGTATTGGGCATAAGAATTAGAATGTTCAAGCTGGGCACTGGTGGCTCATTCCTGTAATCCTAGCAACTCAGGAGGCTGAGAGCTAAGAATCACGGTTCAGAGCCAGCCCAGGCATGAAAATCCATGAGACTGTTATCTCTAATTAGCCACCAGAAAACCAGAAGTGGTGCTGTGGCTCAAAATGGTAGAGCACTAGCCTTGAGCTGAAGAGCTGAGGGACAGCGCCCAGGCCCAGAGTTCAAGCCCCACAACCAACACACACACACACACACAAATTACAAAGTTCAGGATGGGAATGTGGCTTAGTGGTAGAGTGCTTGCCTAGCATGCATGAAGTCCTGGGTTCTATTCCTCAGTACCATATAAACAGAAAAGGCTGGAAGTGGCACGGCTCAAGTGGTAGAGTACTAGCCTTGAGCAAAGAAGCTCAGGGACAGTGCCCAGGCCCTGAGTTCAAGCTCCATAACTGGCCAAAAAAAAAAAATTAGAATGTTCATTGTAGGTTGTGTGTCTGGGCGGGTGTATTTCCTGTAATGCTGCTCATCAATACTTTATCATTCCATAAACATTTATTCAGCTTCAGCTGCATACACACACGCCCCCACACACAAATACACAAGTGACAGCTATAGTAGCATTTATGAAGCCACTGGTTTTTAAAAATGGTTTCTTGGAAGTGATTTGTAGGCTGCAAGGAGCAAAGGCAAAAGCCAGGCATTGTCTTGGAGAGACTTAAGAGTGTGGTTTGCTGATGGGCAGATTTTCCTCTGCCCTCAAATCCCATGCCTCATACCCTAGGTAGAACCTTGTCCACCCTCATTACTCTTGGGGACTTAATCAGATTACGAGTGGCCAAAACCTCTTTGCTCAATGAAGAATCACATTGGATTTTTATTCTGTTCAGTCTTTAGTCTATACTGCAGTCTTATTCCCCAAACTACCTCTTTAAAGTGATTCTTCCAGTCTGTTAATCCTGCCCTTCTTGGTGCTAGATCCAATTGTGCCTCTGGGCAGAGAAGACAAGACAGCTATCCTGTTGGCCTGTGTTGTGGGTTTGAAGTTTGTACTTCCTCTGTAGGTGCCAATTCAATATTGGAAAACAAGTAATATGTACTTTGGTGGTCTTGAACCGAGAGGCTTTGAGGCTCTTGGATCAAGGTTAAAATCCAAGAACCAACATTTAGAGCTTTGCTTTTCTCTCAGTTCAGCCCCCTGTAGTGCTGATACTCAGCATGAGAAAACTGAGTAACAGGTACTGACAGAGCCCAACATTACAGTGTAAATAGTCTGTTGTTTTCTCCAAAGCCAAGGAATAATAAATAAGAAACAATGCTAAGTGGTGACTGGTGCTCTCTAGAAATCTCCATGTGAGCTGCTATCAAGTATCTTCCAGGAGCTAGGAATGTAGCTCAGAGGTAGAGCACTTGGGTAGCGTGTACAAGGCCCTGGATTCAATCCCCAGCACTGTAAAAATAAAATGAAACACCTTCCAGTACTTAATCAGTGAGGTAAGAAAAACCAAGCCCAGTTTAGCCAAAGTACTATGAATCTGCAACTTACAGACAGACCCAGAATGAGTCTTTAGATATTTAGGGTAGAAATAATCTGAAAATCCTGAATTTTATAAGTCTTTATACTAGGTGGCCAAAGGATGAGGCCAGTGAAAGAGAAAAATCTTAAAGCTTAAATTCTGACTTTCTTGAGCTCTTGGGTTTTAATAATACAACAATCTCATTGACTAATTTTTGTCTCATTTCTTATCCCTGTTCATTTGGAATTTGATGCCTATTCTCTGGGGTTTTTTTTTTAAATCTGAAATTCTTCTTGTTCATGTCTGTTAGAAGACTGTATCTCCATTTTTTTTTTTTAGTTCCCTCCTTTTCTCTCCTTTTTCAGTCTTTTGTCTCTGGTAATCCAGTGCATTGTCTCCCTGGCCCTTCTGATGCAGTGGGCACTGCTGGGCTGTGGATTTAAATACCAGCCAGAACTTGATTTCCAAGCCTGCTAGACCTTCCAGAAGCAATGCCACTGAAATTTGTGTAATACTGGGCAAGGGGGCTACCTAGTACCCTCCCTAGAGATGCAGAATCTCAGGTGCTGACACCACTCCACTCACCACCAGTGCCCACAAACAGAAGGTTAGAAATGAAGTCTCTTCACTTGTCCTATGGTAGGGTTGTCCAGAATTAGTTTTTAGGCCACAGATACTGGGTTTGGGTTCCAGTCTCAAGGAATTCCTTATAAAGATCTGTGGGGTGGGGCATGGGAATACGCAATCTATGTCATTTGATTTTGACCCTGCCCACTCTAGCCACTTCTTCAGAAAATACATCTAAAGATACAAAGTCCGGGTTTGCTATAATGCCTTAATCACTGGTCTACAATTCATGTTGACTGTTTTAGATTGTAAGCTCCTGGAGAGCAGTATTGCTGTCGTAGGAATGTTTTAACAGTGTCATGTGCAAAGGAACAAAATAAATATTTTGATTTTGTGATTGTATGCATGTCTTTCTATCCAGAATGAAATCAGAATAAGCTGGTTTCTTTATAATGTGCAAAGGCTGGTTGTTGCCATTTTAAGGTGTCAATAATTTTCAGATGTCATGATTCCATTGTCTTCATTTCTCTCTCCTTAAAATGCCAGCCTAGAGTCATGGTGCCATTGGCTCACACCTGTAATTCTAGCTACTCAGGAAGCTGAGATCTGAGGATCACAGTTCAAAGCCAGCCCAGATGAGAAAGTCTGTGAGACTCTTATCTCTGGTAAACTACACAGAAAAAGCTGGAAGTGGCACTGTGGCTCAAGTGGTAGAGTGCTAGTCTTGAACAAAAGGAGCTTAGAGACATCTCTGAGGCCCAGAGTTCAAGCCCAGGACTGGCAAAAAAAAAAAAAAAAAAGCTAGTAACATGTGAAGATCTATGTGACTCCTGGGGTTTGAACTCAGGATCTTATGCTTGCTGGGCAGTCTTATCACTGGAGCTACATCTCTTAATCCCCTACATGACCTTTTTCATTCCAGAGACAGAGTTTTCATGAGCTTTTCATGAATATTTTGAAATAGCAAGGATTCCTGAATTTTTTAAACCTGAGGACGAGGCAGGATGGCATATTATCTGTCATCCCAACTATGGCAGAGATAGTTGTTGATTGGCATGCGGTAGGCACTCGGTACTTGCTGAATAAATGAGTCAATTAAATGTGACAGGAATCAACCCAAGGCATTTTATGCTTAGAGTCTTTTACTAAGTACAGGTAGAATGAGGTTACCTCTTAAAGCCTGGAGCTTAACAATATTATCTACTTCACCAAGGATGTCTCACACTTTTCCAAAAATACATTTATTTTTAAAAACAAAGTCAGATAAGCTTTACACAGTCAAATTTTCCAGACAAACCAGAATTTGGGTTCCAGCTTGTGTGTGTTACACATCAGTAATTTCATGCAAAAATGATTTCTCTCTGCAGGAGGTAAAACATTCTGCTTCACTACAAGCATTCAATGCTCTAAACCTGATTTGTACTTCTGCCATCATTTTATTCCATGCCAGGGTTCTGGCATTCAAGAAAATCCATCTAAAATTCAAAATTTCCAAACTGAGATGCACGATTGTTGGGCTTGGGCTGGGGTTTATAGCCAATTCGATCATTAATCATTTGTTCCCGGCTTTTGGGGTCACTGTTGAGCCCAATGGCTCCTTCGCCATCACTGCTTCCCACAACATCCACATCTTCCTTCTGTTTCTTACGGGTCTGGAAATACAAAATTACAGGATTAAGGCAACTTTTTTTCAAAATTAGCAAATGTTTGTTTAGCACCTACCATGTTCTCAGTATGGCATGATAGACAGAATTAGGCTCTAATAAACAATAAATGGAAATCTTGGTTTAAGATAACTAGGGTACCAGTGGCTCACACCTGTAATCTTAGCCACTCAGGAGGCTCAAGGTTCAAAGCGAGGCTGGACAGATAATTCTGAAAGACTCTTACCTCCAATTAACCAACAAAAAAGCCAGAAGTGAAGATGTGGCTCAAGTGGTAGAGTACCAGCCTTGAGTGAAAAAGCGGGGCTCTTAGCTTTGAGTTCAAGTCTCTGTACCAACCCAAAATAATAAAATAGTTACAAGAAGGATACAGCATGTAGCAATAAGCTATAGAGCCCCAATATTCCATGGCATTACAGTCTAATAGAGAAATGGACCCACTAAATAGCATAGGGCCGTCAGGGCTATGACAGAGGAGTGCCCACACTGCCAGGGATGCAAAGAAAAGGAGTTGTGCTGTGTGAAGACCCAGCAGGATGCTGCACCAGAGAGACACATAAGAGGTGGCATGGAAAGGTATAAGCAAGTTGTATTATTCAAGAGAATGAATGGAAAATAACATGACTTGTAAAATAACCACCAAAAATTTACAGCCAAACTGACTCACAGACACTACAAGGACAAGGTCTATACTACTTCATCAAGAGGTCTCTGTTGAAGGGCTTCATTCTGATTTTTTTTTGAAAAGTTAAAATTTCCTTCCACTATCACAAGTGTACAGGGTAACCCTAATTGAATGAAAAGAAGCTACAGAAGATACAGGACCTTAGAGTCATCTAGCGTCACCGCATTCCTCACTAGCCGTGCTTGTTGCAAGCTGTGCTGGGACTATCCAGAACATCCCATTCTAGTACTTGCCGTCATATGGTTATACCACTGCCACAACTGCCTCCATCGCAAGCATGTCCTCTGGCACCACCACCATATCTGCTACGTTGGTTTCAATATCCTGGGCCGCTCTCCCCACGAAAAATTAATGGAGTAGGTCAGGCTTCTTGCCTATAAGCTTGGAAATCTTTGTGCCTTCACAACCCAAGGACTGGGGTGCAAGTGGTTCAACAGGTCCATATAACCTGGAGTCCTGCATGCGTGTGCTACCTTAGGTAACCCTGAATATGGCCTTGAGATGAGGTGCATGCATGCACAGCCTTATGTGGTCATCCGTGGGTGGATGCTACTTTTTTGTAAGGGAGTAGAGCCAGCACCATTGGAGGCCAAGGTGTGATGAGGTGCTGCTGGGGGAGAAATGTGAATCTGAACAGAATGAAGCTGTGACACAGTGAGCCTGTGAGTAACAGTGCACTGGTTGGCTACAGGTTGCTGCTGTTACTGCTAGTGACCAATCTATGGACAGAGAACTTGGAGTAAACACAGCCTCCATCCCTGCCTTGCCAGACATCTTTCTATGGTCTGAATCAAAGGAGAACCCGAGGACCACTAGCAACACGCAGCACATTCCCCTCTATTCCTCTAACCAGATCCATTATGGCCACATTGCCACCTCCATGACTTCCTTTGCTGCCACCACCTCCAACACCACAGCTTTATCTTCCACCAATGTTCACCAAGACCAAAATCACTTCCCCCACTTCATAAAGTTGCCAGATCCACGTTCAGGGCATCTTGATCCAGCAGACTGAAGCTCTGGCTTAAGAGCTTTTTCTACTTCATGATTATTCCTATTAGTACTAAGAATAGAATTTTATCCATTATGTTGTTTCAAAAGCAAATTCTCTTTTTTTCCACTCTGCCTGTCTTCTATCACTTCAGTTTTCAATCTAGCCGTACTTTTCATAGTAGTCACTCAAATGATATTCTTCTGCATCTTTAATACTACCAACAAAAATCTGTTAAATGTACAGCAGGCTTCTACAGAATTATTTTCATTATTATTATTTGCCAGTCCTAGGTTCCTTTTGCTCAAGGCTAGCATTCTACCTCTTGAGCCACAGCACCACTTCTGGCTTTTTCTGAGTAGTTTATTGGAGGTAAGAATTTCCTGCCTAAGCTGGCTTTCAACCTCCTGAGAGCTAGGATTATAGGTGTGAGCCACCAGCACCTGGCTTCTTTTTTCTTGAAACAGTTCTTTGGTTCTACTCCACACTCTTTAACCACTGTAGGTCAAACATGCACTGCTGTATGAACTCATTTAATACCAGACTGAGTCACAAAGTCAAAGCCCCTGATACAGACAATCTATGCGCACCTATCGTCTGTACTTTCAAAGGCCAGACCAATAAAACACTATAAATGTTTTCTTAAGTTCTCTGGTTGATTCATAAGCCCCATCCCCTTCTCCTCTTGTGACAGTAGTGATGGCTGGAGTCAGGCTGAGTGTGATCTGAGAGTAGTTTTATCACCATTTTGAAACTGTACTCTCCAAATTCAATACAGGATTGGGGTGGAAAAATGGAAAGCCTTACTTAGTTTCAAATAAAAAGGTTGGCTCTTAAATCACAAATGACTTTAGAAAATAAGTCACAAAATAAGTCTTAGTTTGTTCATTTTTAAGAAGAGACTAAGCCCATAACTGCCACTATTGACTATAAAGATGCTATAAAAGAATACGTAAATCGGATGCTGGTGGTATATGCCTATAATCCTAGATACCTGGGAGACTGAGATTGGGAGGATCAAAGTTCCAGGCCAGTCCAGACAGAAAAGTGTGCAAGACCACTTCTCAACTGAAAGCTGTGTGAGGTGGCACACACCTGTAATCCTTGTTATGACAGGAAGCCTAAGAAGGTGGGTCTTGATCCAGGCTTGCACCCAGAAGGAAGTGAGATCCTAACTCAAAAATAACCAGTTGGGGGGAAGCGGGGGAGAAGGGAAGGGATGGTAAGAGGAAACAAAGGAAGAGGCAATGCTGGATGAGAAATGTAATCATTACCTTGCTCATATAATTGTAACCCCTCTGTACAGTAGTATTTTTACACACAAAAAAAAAAATAACCCGTTCAGAAAAGGGCTGGAAGCATGGATCAGTGGTAAGCACCTGCTTAGCAAATACAGAGCTCTGAGTTCAAACCCCAGTACAGAGAGAGAATGACCAAAATTTAATCTAGAGTTCCATACTAGGAGAATAGCTCAACTAACCCCTGCCATCATTCTATACCACTTAATACCGAACCAGCACCCAACATTACAGAGAATTAAATAAGGTACAGATTATCCCCCATCTGAAGTGCCAAAACACCACAAGTGTTTCAAGGGTTAGAGTTTTCAGATTTGGGAATATCTGTGTTGACTTCAGAGACACAGCATCCCTAATCCAAAAAAACCAAACTCTGAAATGCTCCAAAACCTTAGTCTCTCAGCAGTGACCTCTTATTTGACAAATATAATGACCTTCCTGATTACAATGCAAATAAGTGATATCTGAAGTACTTCCCAAACATTTTCATGAGAACAAGTTCTAAAAAAGCAAAGGGCCCTCTCATTCTGAGAACACTCAACTGGAATGAAATCATTTCAAACACTTCAAAGGCTTCAAACTTTGAACAGCTGTTGGCTCTTTGAGAATCTAGAGTTACATACGTGTAATCAAACTAACAACCATAAAAAAATTAAATATTAGAGCTATGCATGGTGAGATACAATTGTGCTAGGTTCAGCACTTGGGAGGCTGTGGTGGTAGGATCTTTTTTGTTGCTGTTGTTGGTCATGGGGCTTGAACTCTGGGCCTGGACACTGTTCCTCAGCTCTTCAGCTCAAGGCAAGCACTCTACCACTTGAGCCACAGCACTACTTCCGGTTTTCTGGTGGTTAATTGGAGATAAGAGTCTCACAGACTTTCCTTGCCTAGGCTGGCTTTGAACTGTGATCCTCAGATCTCAGCCTCCTGAGTAGCTAGGATTACAGGCGTGAGCCACTGGTGCCCAGCTGGTGGTAGAATCTTGAGTTTGAGGCCAGCCTGAGCTAAAGACCTTGTCTACAAAACAAAATAAAGCCAGTTGTCTAGCCAGGCACCAGTGGCTCATGCATGTAACCCTAATTACTCAGGAGGCTGAATCTGGGTGATTAAGGGAGTAACTTGAGACTCTTACTTCCAAATAACCAGCAAAAAGCCACATGAGGATATGTAGCTAAAGTGGTACCCATGAGCAAAAGAGCTAAAGGGGAGCATCAGATAAGATCCTGAGTTCAAGCCTCAGGACCAGCACAAAACAATAAATTATAAATAACAAAAAAGATTTATTGGTTTTATTTTGGGGTTAAGACTTTCCCTCCCTAAATTGCTCTAAAACAGTTCAAACCCACAAGGTAATTGTCGTTAGTCCAATTATTAACTCAACAGTGAGCTGACTCTGCAGAGTCAAAGTGCAACATGCTAGCATTTTATCAGACTCATTAAACTGAAGCTTTAACCACAGTTAAAACTTATATTTAGCTGGCACTTGTGGATCACATCTGTAATCCTAGTTACTGAGGAGGCTGAGATCCAGAGGATCAAGGTTTAAAGCCAACCTGGAAAGAAAAGTAATTTAGACTTCATCTCAAAAAAAAAAAAGCAAAAACCTGAGCTAGAGTACTTTAGCTCAAGTGGTAGAACATCAGCTGAACAAGCAAAGCTGAATAAGTATGAGGTCCTAAGTTCAAACACCCATAACAGAAAAAAAATATATACTTAATAACATAGAAACTAATACAAGTTCTTAAAAGGTACAAGATGATGATGCTTGCAAAACACTAAAGTTGGGTGGGATGAAGAAGAGGGAAAAGACATCTAAGGTTACTATGAAGCATATAATATACCTAGAAAAGCCAGTCATGTTTGTGAGTATATGTAAGATGGAATGTCCCGTCTCACAAAGAAGTATCCACCAGGGAAGCAAATGAAAATGATTATAGTAAACCCACCTTTGGGAGTAGATTACAGAGATGAATACATAATCCTTGCCCTACAAGGAACTGAAGGCCCAGTGGAAGAAAAGAGAAAAATAAAGTCTCAGAGAGTGGCAACCATGGATCAACACAGGAAGGAGGGAGAACTTAACACAGCAGGGGGCTGGGAGGAGCTGAGTTCAAAGATGAGGAAAGGGCATTCAGGCCCAGGGAACACAGCCTGCACAGGCACTGAGATCAGGTAAAGATAACTTGGCAGGGGAGATGAAGTGGAGAGATGAGCAAGGTCAGGTCACACAGGGCCTTGTACAGCAGACTGAGGAACTTGAACTTCATCTGAAGGCCACCGGGGTACTTAACTATTATTAATGGACCTCTATTACTATGCAGCCAGACCACATTTAAAAATACTGCATGCTAGGTTCTGAGAACTCAGTGGTAAAGAAGGTGGAAACTTTGTCCTAATGAAAGTGATTTTACAAGAAATGTAATTACAAGTTATAATGAATGCTATGAAAAAAGTGTGGTTCCTATGCCTAATGAAGGTAAGGCCTCATGGATAAGAATGACACATCTAACTTGTTAGTGTCAGGCAGGTGACATTTAAACTGAGAATGGATTACAGGCAGAGGGGAGCCATGTGTGCAATAGCCAATGATCAACAGTTTGGTATGTTCAAGGAAACATCAGAAGCCAGTGTGGTCAGGGTGTAAAGAACAAGACGAGTCGTATGAGGTGCCAGGTACTGGTCACTCATCCTTGTAATCCCAGCTAAAATCTCAGCTTAAAGAGGCTGAGATTTGAGGATCACAGTTCAGAGCCAGCTCAGACAGAAAAGCCCATGAGATGCCTATCTCCAATTAATCAGCAAAAAGCCGAAGTAGAGCTGTGGCTCAAGTGGTAGAATGCCAATCTAGAATGAGAAAAACAAGGGAGAGCATAAGACCATGATTTCAAGCCCCAGCACAGACACTAAATAAACAAATAGACAGTAACATGAGGTCAAATTGCACAAAAACCTCACAGGCCATGGTAAAGAATTCAGATTTTATTCCAGGAACAAGAAACTATTGAAGACTATTAAATAGGAGGATGGCATGTTCTGAATAGATAGAAAGAAGATAGAGAATGTACTTTACAGAGAAACGTGAAGATAGAAAGACTAATAACAATGTAGTTAAAATCACACAGGGAGAGATGGTCACTTGAAATCTGGCTTCCATGGAGGAGATGTAAGGGTATGAGCAGACATCTGGAACTAGAGGATTGACAAGACACAGTAAAAACAGAGGGGGAAAGAAAGATTCAAGTGCAACTGCTTGGTTTCTGGCCTAAGCCATTAGATGAACCCTAAAAGGGATGAGTAGTCTAAGGGAAAAAAATCAAGAATTCATTTGTTGTTTTGGTGATACTGCGAATTCAACCTTAGGGCCTCAACATGCAGCAAATGCTCTGAGCTACATCATCAGATTTTTATTGTTGGGCTGCTGGTCTTAAACTCAGGACCAGGGTGCTTGCCCTGAGTATTTCTGTTCAAGGTTCGTGCTCTACTACTTGAAACATTGCTCTACTTCCAGGTTTTTGGTGGTTAATTGAAGACAAGTGTCTCACAGACTTTCCTGCCTGAACTGGCTTCAGTGATCATCAGAGCTCAGCCTCCTGAGAAGCTAGGATAACAAGCATGAGCAACCAGGCCCAGAAACTTTTTTTTTTTAATATATTAAGTAAAGTGAATAATGGTCTCCAAAGCTATCAGATCCTAATTCCTGGAACTTGTAAATATTACCTTAGGAGACAGGGACAATCTCTGCAGATAGGATTAAGGATCTTGAAATGGGCAAGGCACCAGTGGCTCATGCCTGTAATCCTAACTACTCAGGAGGCTGAGATATGAGCATCAAGGTTCAAAGCTAAGCCAGGCATCCATATCCAAAAAATTCTTACCTCCAATTAACCACTAAAAAGCCAGAAGTAGAAGTATAGCTGAAGTGGTAGAGTGCCAACACTGAGCAGAAAAGCTAAACAAGAGCAAAAGGCCCTCAGCCCAAACACACATTTGAAAAAAAAAAAAAATGACTTCGAGATGAACTGATCTGAATTGCCCTGGATTATTGAGGTAAACCCTACAAGTATTTACATATTTTTTTTCTTTTTTTTGGGGGGGGGTCCAGTCATGGGGCCTGAACTCTGGGCCTGGGTGCTGTCCCTCAGCTCTTCAGCTCAAGGCTAGCGCTCTACCACAGCGCCACTTCCGGCTTTTTTCTTTTTGCTTATGTGGTGCTGAGGAATGGAACCCAGGGCCTCATGCATGCAAGGCAAGCGCTCTACCACTGAGCCACCTTCCCAGCCCCTTACATATATTTTTATAAGAAGGAGAGTCTGAGCAGAAGAGGAGGAAGCTGGAGTGATGTGACCTAAGCAGGGAATGCCAGCAGCTTTTTGGCTGAAAGGGCCAAGTCAGGGATTCTCCCTAGACTCTGCAGGAAACATCCTCTGCCTGCCAGTACCTTGACAGCCCAGTAACATCTTGACAGCCCTATAACAATGATTTCAGATTTGTGACCTAAAGATCTGTCAGAGAATAATTTTATTTAATTAATTAGTTAATTTATTTTTTGTCTGTTGTAGACCTTGAACTCTGGGCTTGGGCGCTGTCCACCAGCTCTTCAGCTCAAGGCTAATGCTCTACAAGTTTTAGCCACAGCACCACTTTCGGTTTTCTGGTGGAGATAAGAATCTCACGGACTTGCCTGCCTGGGCTGGCTTTGAGCCACAATCCTCGAATCTCAGCCTCCTGACTAGCTAGGATTATAGGCATGAGCCACCGGCACCAGGCTCAAAGAATAAATTTCTATTGTCCACAGCTTTGTAATATTTTGTTATGGCAATCTCAGGAAACATGCCTATAAAGCACCCAAAGAGAAATTTCAAATCAACTGTTGGTGACTGAGTCCAAGGTCCTGAAGTTAAGATTATTGTCTTGAAGCCGGGCGCTGGTGGCTCACGCCTGTAATCCTAGCTACTCAGGAGGCTGAGATCTGAGGATCGCGGTTCAAAGCCAGCCCGGGCAGGAGAGACCGTGAGACTCCCATCTCCAATAAACCACCAGAAAACCGGAAGTGGCGCTGTAGCTCAAGTGGTAGAGCGCTCGCCTTGAGCTGAAGAGCTGAGGGACAGCGCCCAAGCCTAGAGTTCAAGCCCCACGACCGACAAAAAAAAAAAAGATTATTGTCTTGAATATCTCCAAAGGGTTTGAAAGTGGTACTCTTACCTCCAGATCCTTTCGAATACTCTCAAACTCTTCAATGTCATCAAGCTTTAGCTCCAGGCGTGTTGGTTTTCGTCGCAGCATACTGAAATCAGCACCAAGCCAGGCCCAGTGAACTCAGCTGTTCAAAATGGCTGAGAAGAAAAAAACTGCAGATGATAATGTTTAGCTACAAATGGAAGATCAATTTGTAAGCATGCACACTAAAGTGAATGAGGTATTCAAAACATTCATATACTGCAGGAGCTGTGGCCTAAGTGAAGAACTTGCCTGGCAAGATCAAAGGCTCTGGGTTTAATCCCTAGTACCAGAAAGCAAAAACAAACAAAAACACCCCACCTAATTTAAACTCACATATAGACTTTCAAAGTCTTTGGGTATAGGATTATTATATTTTTATTACATTATGGAGATCTACAACTCTCTAATCTCCTTTCTAAAGAACTTAAAATAGGGCTGGCAAGGTGGCTCAGTGATAGAGTGCTTGCCTTGCATGCATGAAGCCCTGGGTTCGATTCCCGATCACCACATAAGCAGAAAAAGCTGGAAGTGGCGCTATGGCTCAAGTGGTAGAGTGCTAGCCTTGAACTGAAGAGCTCAGGGACAGTGTCCAGGCCCAGAGTTCAGGCCCCACGACCAACCAAAAAAAAAAAAAAAGAAAGAAAGAACTTAGAATATTGTCTATAAAAGAAAATTCTAGGCAGCTACACTTTAGTTTTGTGCTCAGTCATATTTATTCAAAGAAATATGCTGGGTAGTTGCATTGGCCCAAGCCTGTAATCCTAGCCATCTGAAAGTGAAGATTGGGGGGATTGCAGTTCAAGGTATAAAAGTTCATGACACTTCTCAATCAGTGGCTGGGCACAGTGACACAAGCCTATCATACCAAGCCATGGGAGAAGTATAATAGGTGGGTACAATGGTATACATCTGTCATCCCAGTGACAAAAAGGAAGCACAAATAAGAGGATCACAGTTCAGGGTGATCTAGGCATAAAAAAGTGAAACTCTAACCAGGTGCTGGTAGTTCATACCTGTAATCCTAACTACTCAGGACGCTGAGATCTTAGGATCTTGGTTCAAAGCCAGCCCAGGCAGGAATGTCCATAAGACTCTTACCTCCAGTTAACCACCAGAAAACTACAAGTGGTGCTGTGGTTCAAGTGGTAGAGTGTTTGCCTTGAGCTGAAGAGCCAGGGGACAGAGCCCAGGCCCAGAGTTCAATCCACACACACAAAGTGAAACTCTACCTTGAAAATAACCAATTCAAAAAAGGACTGGCAAAGTGGTTCAGGTGATAGAGTACCTGCTTAACAAGCACAAGACCCTAGGTTCAAACCATAGCAATAACTAATTTTAAAAAGAAAATGAAATGTGCTAGCTAAAAAGAATAAAGTGGTCAGGTGCCAGTGGCTCATGCCTGTAATCCTAGCTACTCAGAAGGCTGAGATCTGAGGATCGTGGTTCAAAGCCAGACTGGACAGAAATCTCCAACCAACCACTCAAATACCAGAAGTGGCACAGCAGCTCAAGTGGTAGAGCACTAGCCTTGAGCACTCAGGGACAACACTCAGGCCCTGAGTTCAAGCCCCTCAACTGACAGAAACAAAAAAATAAAGTAAAATAAAAAGAATAAAGTTAACTGGGCATGGTGATATGTGACTTTAGTACTTGAGGCTAGCAAACACAGATTCTGCCTCAAAAATAAAGAAATTAAGTTATGACATCGTACTTCAGTTTACTTAAGAGGAAGCTAAACCAAGCATGAAATTTAGTCTATACCAGGGATTCTTGAGGTTAAAAACAGTTGCTAAATCACATGAAAACTCTGAATTTACTGACTCACTGGATTTTCCTCAGGATCTAACCAGGTCCTAAACAGATAATTCACTCATTAATGAACTCTTCCTGTGCTCCAGCTACAAAGTTAAAATGCACAATAGCAATCTGTAGAGGAAATAGACGTCTAAGTATGGAGAAGATTCCAATACAAAGTAGTAGAAGTCTAATAAGTGTAATTCAAAGACATCACATGGGCACCCAATTCAGTCTGGGCCGCACAAAGCCTCAATGTCTGGCAAAATTATCCCTATTTTGCAGATTAAAGACTTGAAGCAAGCTGTCCTATTTGGTTAACAATGTCAACCACCCATAAAAATTACACTTAGGTCAATATGATGATTAAAACGATAGTGATATTAATGAATGTTCTGTATATACTGCGAGAAGCATGATTGAAAGGAAGTATTTTCTATTTTCATAAGGGTATGGGTGTTATGTAATGTGTCAATATAACCTTGACACATAAGATTTCATGTTGCTTGGTACTAATCAGAGAAATGGTCAGGAAGCCAAAGTTGAAGAAAAATAACAATTAGTTTAACTTTTCTGCCAACTGAGAATGCCTGCCACTGGGTGGCAATATAGAGTAATGGCTAAAAGCCCTGGCTCTGGCAAAATCAGAGGTTCTAATCCCACTCCCCTCTGAAATTTGAACTATTAGCATCCTCTCTCACCAGAACTTAGTTTCTGTGTTTGAACTTTTGTTGTATGACTTGAATGAAGTAACTCAGAGTTACATCCTGAAATATGATTTTCCATTTAGTTAAGTGTGCAAATAAGTATTATAATCGTTGAGGGGAAGGGGAAGGTTAGAGGGTTAGGGATTCTGTTCAGCCCAGCAAGCATATATATGCTTGTCGGTCGTGGGGCCTGAACTCTGGGCCTGGGCGCTGTCCCTCAGCTCAAGGCTAGAGCTCTACCACTTGAGCCCACAGCAGCTTTTTCGGCTTATGTGATGCTGAGGAATCGAACCCAGGGCCTCATGCATGCAAGGAAAGCGCTCTACTACTGAGCCACCTTCCCAGCCGGTAGCAAGCGTATTTTGAAAATCCCTTCCACATAGAAGGACAAAAACTTTGTCCTTGCTGTGCGTTGGTGGCCACTCAAAAGGCTGAGATTTGAGGATCAAAGCGAGCCTGGGCAGGAAAGTCCATGAGACTCCAATTAATCTCCAATTAACCACCAAAAAAAAAGCTGGAACTGTATTGTGGCTCAAGTGGTAGAGTGCCAGTCTGGAGCATAAAAGCTTGGGGCCAGCGCCCAGGCACTGACTGAGTTAAAGCCCCAGGGCCAGCACATAGGAAACAACAACTCTTGTCCTGCCCGTGACCAACGAAGCACGGGGCCTGCAGCGGGGCCTGCAGCGCTGTCCGCAGGTCCTTTGCTTGACGCCTCCTACACATCGCCTTCTACCTGGCACAAAGAACGGGCTAAAACAAAGAGGATCAACAACAACATCAGGCCCAGGCGCCTCTGCCAGCTCTTCCCCCCGTCTTTCGGCGCTAGAGGGCCCCAGGGCCTAGAGCTTGGCCGCGGCCCACCTCCACCGCGACCCCACCCGGCTGACAGCAGGCCTCCTCCCGCCACTCGGGCGCTGCACTCAAGATCTGGGGCAAAGGCTGCCATAGCAACGTGGCCCTGTGCTTTGGGAAGACTGAGGCCTCCAGTAGGCCCGGACCCTCGAATCACTCCGAAGCCGCGCGACCCCACAACACATACCTCCTTCCAAGCCTCAGTCCTTTCGCTGAACCTCAGCGCCACCGCCCACCAAAGAAGCGATGGCCAGGCTAGCTAAACTACAGTTCCCAGAATGCTCTGCACATCATTTCCCGCAAAATCTCATTTCCCGCGATATATTTTGGAAAGGGATTGGGGAGGCAGCTGTCCTACGAGCCACGCCCCTCGACGCCTGGCAGAATCTTGGCTACTACGACTCCCAACGTGCCCCGCGCCCGCTCGCGACCCACTTCCTGCCTGTGACGCATTTCCGCTTTGCTGGGCGCGCTGTGGACGGTCTGGATCCCAGAGCGCGGTTTTCAGCTGGGGCCTGGTGGCTCCGGAGCCCGGCATGGCCTCCTCACGGGCCTCCTCCACGGTACAGAGTCCAGGGTCTCAGCCTGCGCGGGCAGCAGCGCAGAGAGGGTTGGGGGCCCGAGTGGAGGGGCCGTTACCGCGGGCTAAGGCGGTGCGGGGCCGGGGAGGAAGTCGGCCGGACACGGGTGTCCTAGAAAGCCCCGCAGCACCCGCCTGTTCCCCGCGCGCCTCCGTGCTGCTGCCTTTTGCAGTTTCTCATTGAATGATTCTCCCGACTGCTCCAGAGTTACAGCGCTTTGGAATGGGGAGGGGTCTTAACCCAGATTCTAGTCCATTAGAATTGTGACCAGGCCTCTCCCAACACATCTGCGACTCACCTCCGCAGTGGAGAGGCCTGTAACATTCGAACTTGTTCCAACCCTCCCCACCTCTCTTTGGTGTATTTCAGTTGTCCTTAGTATTTCCCCACAGAGGAGAAATAAAACCCTGAGTGTCACAAATCCCTTCGAGGATATGGCAGTTCCAGCAGAAGGAATTAATAAACATGCTCCAAACAAAATCCGTGGTGGAAAAAAAAATCACTCAAGAGAATTTCGCTAGATTTATCAACCTCTTGTTTTCTGTTTGGCAAACACCCCACCCAGTGAGGACTAGTCTTAACTAGTGATCAACTTGTCTTTTTTATTTTTATTTTTTAATGTGGAAGAGTGTGATTGAAACTCAGGATGAGCTCCAACCTTGGAAGCCCAGTAGATTACTAAAATTGATTTTTTAGGTTAATTTGGGTTCTTTGATTTAGCAGGCAACCAAAACTAAAGCACCTGATGACTTAGTTGCTCCTGTTGTGAAGAAACCACATATCTATTATGGAAGTTTGGAAGAGAAGGAAAGGGAACGTCTGGCCAAAGGAGAGTCTGGGATTTTGGGGAAAGAAGGACTTAAAGCAGGAATTGAAGCAGGAAATATTAATATAACCTCTGGTAAGATGCAAATAACAAGTTTCTCTACTTTTTTTCTCTCTCTAGTGCTAAGGATAGAACCTAGGGCCTTGTTCATGCTAGGCAAGGTCTTTACCTTTGAACCACATCCCCAGCCCCTAGGGTTGTTTTTTGTTGTTTTGTTTTTTGTTTTGTTTTTAGCAGTATTGTACTATGTAATTCAGCCTGGCCTTGAACTTGAAATGTAGTCCCTCCTGACCTTAAATTAGCTATCCTCCTGGCTCCACCAGCCAGACTGGTTACAGTCAGCACCAATGTCACCAGTCCATCTTTTCTCACCTTTTATGCTCCAATTTGAACTTTGTATGCCCCTCTTAATATCTAGAATTCTCCCTCTCCCCCCCCCCTTTTTTTTTCTTCTAGGTTTTGAGGCTTGAACTCTGGGCCTGGACACTTTAGCTCAAGGCTAGCACTATACTACTTGAGCCACAGCACCACTTCCTGTTTTCTGATGGTTAACTGGAAATAAGAGTCTCATTGAATACCCAGGCTGACGTTGAACTGTGATCCTCAGATCTCAGCCTCCTGAGTAGCTAGGATTACAGGCCACCTGGCTCACAATCTGATTTTTTTAACCCTTGATATTCATCCAAGTTTGGGTGTGGAGTTTAAACCAGATTGCCGGATAATCCAAACAGCTTTCCAGTTGTGGAAATTACCTTTCCTGGTAACTACTCTGAGTTTACTAGTTAGTGTTTTTAACCATTCCTATTTATTTAACCATTGGGACTATTTTAGTAAGTAGCTTTGGAGATCATTAAAATGGTTTGTGGGCTTGGTACAGTGGCATCTGTTATCCCCATTGACATATGAAAGCATAACAAGAAGGATTGAAGTCTATGCATAAAGCAAGACCCTAACCATGAAATAACCAATGGAAAAGGGGGCTGGAAGTGTGGTTCAAGGGGTAGGGTGACTAGTTAGTCAGCTTGAGGTCCTGAGTTACTTCCCTTGTACTGCCAAAGACTTTCTAAGTAGAAAGGCTGGTCAACTGATGCTCTGTACTCTTACTTTCTGATCTCTTCTATAAGTTTAAGATTGCCAAATGAAGCAAATGATGACTTACTTATACCTTTTTCCTGCCTCTAACAGTCATTTAGGTTAAATGCATTTGGCATAATTTAATAAGTTGTAAAGAATGCACTATATCTTTAAAATGTGTAGTGGATTAGGCAATTACCTTGCTCTAAGCTCATACACAGGTTATTGTTAGAAATTATTTTGTTGCTCCTATTTGAAGATCTGGTAATGGTGCTGATGTTGTCTGTTCTTTTTGTAGGAGAAGTATTTGAAATTGAAGAGCACATCAGTGAACGGCAGGCGGAAGTATTGGCTGAGTTTGAGAGAAGGAAGCGTGCCCGGCAAATCAATGTGTCCACAGATGACTCGGAGGTCAAAGCTTGCCTTAGAGCCTTGGGGGAACCCATCACACTTTTTGGAGAGGGACCTGCTGAAAGGAGAGAGAGGTGCCCTTTCTAAATGTTTACTCTTTATTAACAGGGTTCTAATCCCAAATCCAGTTGATCTTGTAGCTGAAACTTTTAAATGTCTCAGAGTAGTAACAGTAATACAAAATTTATTGTTATAGTGTATGGTGTGTGAAGAGGGTGCCAGCATATGCCTTCTCCACCCCAATGTGAACTTTGAGTTGGACGTTGAGTTTGAGAATGTAAACTTTAAGTACATTCCTTGTTAGTGACTTAAAACATGATAAGTAGCACAGTGGTGTATACCTGTAACTCCAGCTCCTTGGGAGGCAAAGTAGGATTGCAGTTGGAGTCCAGGTAGGCAAAAGTCAGCAAAACCCATCTCAAATAAACTAAACAGCAATAGGACCAAGGGCATGATTCAAGTAGTAGAGCACTTTGCTTAGTGCAAAACATTTGAGTTCAATGTCAAAAAAAAAAAAAATCTATGATAGCCAGGTGCTAGTGGCTCCTACCTGTAATCCTAGGTACTCAGGAGGCTGAGATCTGAGGATCATGGTTCAAACCCAGCCCAGGCAAGAAACTCTGTGAGACTCTTATCTCCAAGAAACCACTAGGAAAACTAGAAGTGGAACTGTGGCTCAAGCGGTAGAGCGCTCACCTTGAGCTGAAGAGTGTAGGGAAAGTACCCAGGCCCACAGTTCAAGTCCCACGACTGACAGAAAAAAAAATATATATTTTGTAGCTATAACTGAAGAGGGACACTGTCCTCAGTTGGTACTCCTGTGTTTTACACAGTATCTTAGATGGGCAGGCTCAGTGTCTTTGGCAGTTATGAGGATTACCTCTTGTCTTTGTGTCCAGATCATACAGTCTCTCCCCTTCATTTTCGACCTTCTGGGAAAGATGGTTTATATTTACTCTCTTAAATTCCTTACTCTTTAGTCCTCAACCCATTGATTAACCCTCAACCACCTGGAACTTATTTTGTGTTAAGGTCTCCAGTCCATTTTAGCTAAGTCAGCCCTTGTCCCTGGCCAGCCACTGCATCCTTGACCTCCTTCCTTTCCTTTACTCCCTCTCATAAGACCAAATCAACCTTCTTCCCTTAGTCTCCCCACTTCCCTGAAAGAGAACAACCCACATTCACACATGTTATTATAGATACTCTATTAAAAGTGTCTTGCTGTGCCTAATTTATAAAGTAAGCTTTATCATATGTATGCATGAATAGGAGGAAACCCTAGGGTTTCAGGGTCCCCTGAGCTCCAGGCCTTCACTGGGGATCTTGAAATGTAGCCCCTGAAGATGGCGGGATGTGCTTGTCACAGTCTTACGTCAAACATGTCTTTTGTTACAGGTTAAGGAATATTCTCTCAGTAGTCGGTACTGACGCATTAAAAAAGACTAAAAAAGATGATGAGAAATCTAAGAAGTCCAAGGAAGAGGTAAAATATGCTTTTGGCTTCACAGTGTAACCATAAAAGAAGTGGTGAAATAGTTCTCCCACTTTTTCAGTTGTTTGCTCTGCTAGCATGGTGGTGGAGAGAATACCTTTGTGTTCTTTGCCATTCAGCAATGGTTGTTGGCAACAGATTGTAAATAGTATTAGATTAGAATGTGAATGGAGCTCAGTGAATTTTCCATTCAGAAAAGAACAATAGCAATGTTAGAATAACTTAAGAAACAAAAAAAAGCCTAATAAAACATCATAGAAAAAAATACAATAGAGGGCTGGGAAGGTGGCTCAGTGGTAGAGTGCTTGCCTTGCATGCCTGGGTTCCATTCCTCAGCACCACATAAGCAAAAAGAAAAAAGCCAGAAGTGGCGCTGTGGCTCAAGTGGTAGAGCACTAGCCTTGAGCTGAAGAGCTGAGGGACAGCGCTCAGGCCCAGAGTTCAGGCCCCATGACTGGACCCCCCCCAAAAAAAAAATACAATAGAAAGTACATACGCCTGACTTCACCCAAGTTACCTTAATTACCAGAGTTTCTTGTGGGTAATTACAGTAGAAAATGAAGGAACAGGCATGCTTCTAGCTTAAAGAGTACTGTTGTTCATTTGCCTTTCAGTATCAGCAAACCTGGTACCATGAAGGACCAAACAGCCTGAAAGTAGCCAGACTCTGGATTGCTAACTACTCATTACCTAGGTAAGGGCATCCAGAAGAAGAAAGAATCCTGATTTTTATTGTTTCTTTTCCAGAATGGAGGATGGGCTTTATGATGGTGGTGGTGGTGGTGGTTACATGGGATTGATTGGTAGAGACTTGTGCGGAAGCTTGTTGACAACTCCTTTACTCTTGTGATGATGCTCTTTCTGTGTCCCAGGGCAATGAAACGCTTGGA